ATATATATATGTAATTTGCCATTTTAAAGAAATGACATAGAAGTCTGAGGTGTTTTCAGTACATTCATTTGTAAAAACTTGCAATTTAGAAGTATGTGGAAACTCCTACAAGTAGCCATATCGAAACTACCTATCCCATGGGGGGAGAAGGGGATGGCTGGTTTCTTGAGAATTTTTCCAAATCAGATAACGAATACTGAATTACTGAAGTAATGTTTAAAAATATTAAATTGTAAAACACCACACTTCATTTTAATACCCCTAAACTGTCATAGGGAGCATAAAAAATGTGATTGGACCTAATTCAAGGGAAAGCCTAACAAATTATGCTGATAACAATGGAACTTCAGGTTCACATTTAAAGCAAATCAACTCATAAATGAGATAAAACTGCCAAATATCATTAGTAAAAATAACCAGAAAAACAAAAGCAATAAGGATGGACACAGAGAGAGAAAGACAGGCAGTGGGAAGAAAGTACAAAAGGTCACCAAAATAATGCTCAGCTAAGTTAAATTTAAAGCTAGCAAGAGAGGAAAATTGTGTGTGTGTGTGTATACACATAATACCTAAAATAGCCAATTATTTCGGTTCCATCATCAAGCTACTGAAATAAAATAATTACCGACTGATTTAGTTTCGATCTATGAAGACACTACTGTGTCAACCAAGTAATTTGAGATACTATAGACTACCAATATTATAAATCATTCCTAAAATATTTGGATATAACGGAGTTGGACCAAGGATGTAAAACCAGTGATAGAACATCGCAGGCAGCAAGGCCTTGTTCTGCATCCCAAGCACAGAATTCTGAGGTGGGCAGAGAACTCACAATATCAGTTTGAGACCATCAGATGTGATAGAAAAGTGGATTAGAACTTTTTAGTTTTTATTTTTTTTCTCTCATTGATTAGCGTGTGACGTGGAGCAAATCACTTCATATTTCCAGGGCTTGGGCTTAGATTTTCTATAGGCCAAATGATGGTTCTGGGGCTGGCTATCTCTAGAATCTTTACCAGCTTTTAATTTCCATGATTCCACAATTATATAGTCTCCAATTCTGATCCACGGACTGTGAGCCCAGTGCTGCCATCGTGTGGTAGGTACACTGATAGTTCTGCATTTTTAAGTTTGGTTGAGGAGGGAAAAACCAACAGAGCAAACTAATTGAAGACAGATGTGCAGTCAAAAAGACACTACCAGGTTTAATTAAGGTTAGCCACAGTGGAGTAATAAAACAAAATGATGTCTAACCATCTAGCATCTGAAGAAAATGAAGAGGTCAAAAAATAATTTAAAACAGATTGAATTGCTTCACAGAAGATAAAATATGTTTACTTGAAATGCCCCCTCAATAATTGAGTATGGAAATGATTTAACACTCTAGAATTTATTCCTCTAGGGTACAGGTGCCCTCTCTGCGGGAGTGGGCTTATTCCATCATATATTTATGTAACACATTCTTTCTCCTTGTTGGTACTTAATAGTACAAATAAGAATTAAAAAGAGAGTAGATGCAAAAATGTAAGTCCATGGTATCTGAGACTCTGATTAAAAGAGAATAAAGCAAATGTGGAATCGTTTTAAATTATTAATTTGGAAACACAAGACTATGGAAAGTCAGATTTAGTTTGAATGTTTTAAAATATTATTTTAAAATAGCACTGGTTTTAAATATTATTGAATGTATATTGAAATATAAGCCAGTGTTCACCAGTTGTCTATATGTCCAGATCTGGAATCAGCACAAGTACTAATGTCTGTAAGAACACAGTCTTGTCCTCCCATGGAATGGTGACTATTTATACTATTTCTTACTGTCATTCCAATTTGAATGCATATATAAAATATCCATGGTCTGTTATGAACTTTTAAAAAAAATTTCACAAAACTACGCACTTCTTTGTTTATTGCGTGATCATTAAATATTCCTTTCAATTACACTGGCTTCAGAGGGATTAGGAAAACAAAACATCTAGTTGAATGATCCCATTTTTCTCTACAATATGACAGATTAAATTTGCATCTCTTTTTTGAAAGCTACAAGAAAGTTGTGTTGTCCCCAGTTTCCTTGACAAAACATAGAGAGAAAACCCCTCCTACCTCAAGTGGTGGTGTTAACCAGAGATTTATGATTTGCATAGTGGACACAGCCAGGTGAAAAGTAAAATATCTACTAAATCATTTGGATGTTTCAGTTGTGGGTTGAGAGAAAGAATTGTTAATGTTATTATTATCATTTCATGGGATATTGCTTCAGAATAGTTCCAGGATAAGCTTTTAAGAAGGCTACCGTGGAGAACACAGACTCAGCTTCCAACAGCAACATGGGTGTGACAAGCAGAACCAAAGACAGAAAGTGGTCTATGCAATAACAGAGCTGTGATCTGTGCTGGAGAGGGCGGGTGTAAAAGAGTTGGTTTCTGAGTGGGAGGATGAGGAAAATGCACAGAGCAGGAGCAACCCGAGCTGCGCCTTTACAGACGGGTACAATTTTGATTTGAGAAAGTGATGGGGGCAGAGAAAGGCATGGCCAAATTGGAAGAACCGTTCCAGTCACAGGCCAAGAGAAAAAACAAAACAAAACACAATGCCAAACCAGAGGGAGCCAGCTTGAGTGGTCTAAGGGGCCTTCTGTGGAAAACATACAAAGGAGAATGATGGGAGATCTATTTGGAGAGAAATAGATGCTTAAGAACTTTGAGAGGCAAACTAAAGAATGTGACCAAACTCATGAGATGTCTTGAAATTACATAAGATCTAGCCTCTGATATCAAGTGATAAAAGCACTTTATTCATTAACGTGTTTGTGATAATGCAGACTTAGCCCAGTGAAATTAATATGTTCTTGTTTGGAGACTGTTTCAAGAAAAAGAAATTAGGAAATCTACACATTTGATGACAGTAAAGTGTTTCATTCAATATCATACTAAAAAAATAATAACAGTACTGTTGATTAGATTACATAATGCCAATCAAAAAGTTTGGCAGCTTTCCTTTATTTACAACCAGTTGACTAATCTGACTCATTCTGTGTTTGATTATACAGTTTAATTTACCTTATAAATGTTCATAATTTTATATCATAGTCATATATCCTTTATACTTTTTAAGTTATCCTTTTAAAAAGTCCTTACGTTAATACTAAATACACCATCTGGGTTTCTTCTACAGAAGTTGAAGAAAACATCAAACAGTACAATGTTTTTCTGTTTCCTCAAATCTACTATGCGTTACTAGTAATTCACTGCCGATTGGTTATTTAACAATATTCAAGCCTTTTTCTAAATAGCTAGTCCCAACTTATAGACACGTGATATATTATTGGCAAACACTTCTTCCTTATTTCCTTATTCTGAGAAAGTGATCTTGCCATCACTGGAATATATACAATAGCAATTCCTGGTGGGTTTAGAGAATCTGTTGTCCTGAAATAGGAAGAAGCCAGGAAGTAAGGAAAAGCCAAAACCTTTGCAAGACTTGATCCTGATTACCCGGATGGTGGATTTCCTGTCCTCGAGTGGTTTCCCTCACAGTGTCTGTATTCTTCCCTTCATTGGATATATTGGTTTTATTAAAATTCCACCAGAGTAAGAGTCATTATTTTTGTATACATACCTTTTAAGAAAAATATAGGTATCTCAAAATCATTAAATGATTATCAATTATTCGCCCAGTTGTGTGCATCTATCCAATTGCTTAACAAACTCCTGATTGAATGCAGGTGTATTTATAGAAGAGAATGACTCTAAGTAGTTTTGTAGCCTAGAACATATCTAGAATTAGAAAGAAAATCGAGGCAGATTCATTGTCAGGACTAGATATGCTCAGAGATAATAGGGAGTCACGATTGACAGGAAAGCCCAGAAGAGGTTGGGAGTAAGGCAAATACAATCACAAGATGAGGAAGAGAAAGTCACTGAGCTGCTGCTTCATCTCACTCCTCATGGTCACAGTCTTGTGAGCTGAGGTATGTGTTACTGACCCCACTATTTTCAAATGTGAAAGTTGAGGCTGTTTAGATTTACTCCACAATGAGGTAGGATTCCAAATCCTGTCAGTATGATCAAAGCCCATGCTCTTAAATTCTGACCATGTGGCAGAAGACAGAATTATAACTTTAAAAATCTACCTCGAGAAGTTTCTCTCCACAAAAGAAGAGCAAACACTTGCCTTCTCTTCTGTTTTTTTTGTTCCAAAAGGTCCCCCCAAGTCTCCTCTGATCTAGAACTCCACTAACATTATTGGAACTGCTCCTCCTGTATTGAGCAGCATGGAATTAGGTTTCTATGGGAATATGGGTTCCTTTATACCAAAAAAAAACACCCTTAAGGAATTTTTGACACAAGTCCCAATCATAAATGAAGACATGCCAAAGGGGAAGCAAAGGTCTTCAAACTTTAAAACCTGCTGGAGATAGTTATTAGAGATACATGCAAACAAGAACAGAATTCTTCAATCACATCTTGAAATCATCTGGTGTGTTTTGCATCTTCACTTCTCCAAAGAAAAAGAGATTATTGGTTAATATGGAAAATAATTGAGAAATTTTCCCTTATCCTGCTGTTTCACTCTACCCAAGTCTTTCTAAACTCCTTGCTCCATGAAATAGCCAAAATTCATATTTGTTACTCATATTCCTTACTATAATACTGTACAAATAAACCACAAATAGCAATAAGAATAATGGTAATAGTCATAGAACAGCTACATATTATTCACCTCGGTCTATAATCTGATGTTTTATTCCTTGAAACAATTGAGGTTTTTGTTTTGTTCCTTTATGTCCAATAAAAATACTCAAGTACTTAGTGTTACCACAGCACGTTCTTGGCTAAGGAAAAGAAACTGAAAGGCAAGTTAAGAAATGTGGAGTTCTTGTTAGAGCTGTGTCATTATCCATGTAAATGAAGAAAACATTTAATTATGCATTTGGAGATCAGTGGGAGTTTCATTGATTGATTGACTGTGGTGTTGACTCTTCCCACACCATGCAGCAAAGCCTACCAACCACCGGCCTGCAGAAAGCTCCGTGTCCACCGGCTCCTCGGGCAGCAGCTTTGGCAGCGGGTATAGTGTCGACAGTGAAGGGAGCAGCAGCACTGCAGGGGAAACCAATCTATTTCCTATTCCAAGGATGTAAGTGGTTTTTTTTTTTTTTTTTCTTTTTTTCACTACAAAGTTAACAGCATGATGACTAAGCTTTTCTTAACACTTAACAGGAAATAACTAGATAATTATCCAGTTCTGAGTCATTGTCCCTGAAGCACTTCAGCTGTTTATGCCTACATAGAAAATAGAAGGTTCAGGAAAGATTGGATTAAGGAGGAATGCTGGTCACTTCCAGGACTATTTAATCAGGGCAATCTGTATTTAATAGAAAAAGTGCCAGCATAATAACTAAATTAAGTTCAGCAGCAGCAGTCTGTTGATGCTTCAATCACATCATGACCACACACAAATATTATTGGTATTTGAGATAAAGTTAGATTAATTTACTTTGAATAGGGAGAGATTTAAACAGATTTAAAAGCTCACATATCATTTTGGAAATAGATAACAGATTGGGCTTCTTGTAGACACTTTTCAGTTATAAATCTTACCACAATTAAAATGGAAGATTTTGAAGGCAAAATCAAGGAATACCTGGATGCCCATAGATAATCTTGGAATAGAGTAACAAGAGGTGAAGCCTCAAGAAAATGAAATTGCAAATCGAATGCAAAATGAAAGCAGATTGTGTTTAGAATGTGTCAGAATGGATCCAGTCATGTTGGTGGCAAAAGTTAGCATACGAGATACATACGTAGGTTACGTCTGTTCCAGTATCAGAGTCTATACTTTTCAGCCTTTTCTTCTCCTCGAGGTAACTAGTTTTCCGGGTTTTGGAAAACATCCTCACCACACCCATCTCCAGGATCTAGGTCAGGGCAAATCTAGCTTTGCAAGGTCTGTGAGCTAAAAATGGCCTTTGCAGTTTGAAATGTTTGGGGAAAAGACACCAGAAGAAGAATCGCATTTTGCAACATACAAATTATATGAAATTGAGATTTCGGTATCCATAAATAGAGTTTTATTGGAAGCCACACCCATTTGCTTATGTCTTACCTAATGTTGCTTCCTCACTATAGAGGCAGGAGAGGCAGAGACCATTCAAACCATTTCCTATCTGGGCCCCTGGGAGTTTGCAAACCCCTGATCTGGGCCCCTGTTAAAGGATCTTCATTTCTCCAATGTTGAATGAAGTCATTTCCAGGAGTAGATTTTCTATAGTAGATTTTATATATATATATAGAGAGAGAGAGAGAGATAGATGATAGATAGATAGATAGATAGATAGATAGATAGATAGATAGATAGATAATGGCTCAGTTTACAAAAGCAAAATAATGGGGGAAAGGAGTTTGGACGGTGAAAAATGTGTTTATTTTGTGATTTTCAAGTTCTGTTTTTCCTACTTAAATTGCTATATTATCGGATCACCTGCCCATCTTTTTTTTTTTTTCCTTAAGACTTAGGCTACAGATTCAATACTTATATTTAATCAGGTTTTTTTTAATTGGAATTATTCTAAAAGGAATCTAATCTCATCAGTCCTCTGCCTCTGATGATCTTGTATGAAGAGGATTTCACCAAATTCCTTACATTGCTCTCTCAGCTATGAATATCATATGAATTTGTAATTTTTTAACCACACATCATTTAATATCCTTCCAACTTATCCACACTTTTCAAAATAATTTGACACTGATGATAAAGTTATAACTTCAAGAGAAAAACCACGTTATTTCCTCAACATCTAAATATCTGAAGTGGAAATAGATTATGTATTTTTTGCATACACACCAATTTCCAATTTTATTTTTCCTATTTTCCTGTTCTCTTATAAATCAAAGCTTTTAAAAACTGCCTCAGACACACTATGTTTTGCCAAAGAAAATTCTCTTTTCCAAAGCAGTATTTGGTATTTCTTTTATATGTCCTTTTGTGTCTAACACAATTATTGCCTAGGCCAACATGAGAGTTCAATAAATTTTTGGTGATTGATTAACAAATATAAATTATAAAATGAGTAGTCAGCATGTTCTGAGATGAAGATTATTTCCTGGGAATTCAGGAAAATTGCATCCTTCATATAATCCACAGTCGCATTTCCTTTGTATTTCATTTAGCTTCACGATGCTGCAGAGGTACCTGTGGAATCTTAGAAATGCCTCTCCTGCACATTTTGTCTATATACCTAATGTTACAGTCAGTTTTCATTAAAAACAAAGACTGCAGCGGAATAGCAGATACCATTACAATTTGAAACCTAGGACTCAAGATCAAATAAAAAGTTACCCAAATTTTACTATTACTAAAAATTATGGATATTTTGTTAAAATTTGGCATATATAGAATAGTAATTTTTCAGTACTCTCATCTGTTAGATGAACATTACTAAAATGATTTTCCTTTTCATTTGAGTTTGACTCAGTAGCAAGCTGTCTGGTTCCCCTCACTAGTCATAGTAGCTGCTCACAGTAAGATTGCTAGAGTTATTAAGCTCTTCTCTCTGTCTGATTGGCACAGAGCACAGTTAATTTTTTTTGAATCTATCGTCTACTTGTATTGAATCTCACTGAGCAGTTAAACAAATTAAAGTTTTGTGCATTGCTTAATCAAGACTTTTTTGGCATATATTCAGATGCAGATGGTATCTACATGTATATAAGTGTGTGTGTGTGTATATATGACATTTTTGCAAGTCCTTCATACTTGATAAAAATTTGTGTTGAAACCTCTGACCTAGAATAGTCATAATGGAAAATGTAATGGCTTTCAAGTTAAAGTAATTTTGGAGTTTATATCTATTTCTCTTTCATTATGTGCAGGACCAACTCTATGGAATGGTAAGAGGATTTTTAGAGCAGTTTTCAAGTGAGATGTAATTGGATTCTTAAGAAAGAAATACAATTACATCTTCAGCAAATTCAGCAAACCAAATATTTTTGTGAAAGTAAGAACTAATTATCAGCAAATCCTGCCATGTCAGAATTATTGTCTAGAAAGTATAGTATCGAGATGTTCTTTTGTTCAAACACCCTTTTTAACACTTAAGTGTTTTTATTTCATCATTTTAGAACATCTTATATAAGTATGTATAAAGGCAATTCCAAAATCTTTTCTATGCCATGTTGCTTTATTTTTCTGACTGAAGAAATAAGAGGTAACCTATAGTGTATGGACTGTTACATTATCAATATTCTGAACATACAGTGCTCAGAGTATCATGAATTCTTCATCGATTTGGCCTCCCAGAAAGTTCGAGGCTGAAACTAAAAGAGTACTAGACTCTGGCTGAATTCTAAAGTTGTTAAGTGAATACCTACTTATTAATATTTTCTATTTATTGAATTTTATGATATTTCAGGCACTGTGTTAAGTACTTTATATACATTTTCCATGTGATTTTCTCATACCCAAAAGCTAGCTAGTGTTACTATCTTTACATTAGAAGAGGAGAAATAGATTTACCAGATTGAGTAGATTTGCCTTAGATGACAACATAGCATGAAATAGTGAAGCCAGAGGCAGAGACCAGGAGGTCTGACTTCAAAAGCCAATATGCTACCCACCCACTACAGACAAGGATCTGAAAGTCACTAAGTAAAATAAAAATCTGTTATTACAATATTATTTTTATAAGTCATTTAATTCAATATTTCCCTTCTCATCAAAGGGTCTGTACAGGTCATCATAACAAAACAAAGGTATAAAAAGTCTTCTCACTTCGTGAGTTAAAAAAAAGGGGGGAAAAGCAACACCCTAATTCTAAAACAAAATTTGAAAATTTCATGATAGTCTGATCTTTATAAATGGGTCTATGAATAAGACACTGAATTTAGAGGTATTCTGTTCAGACTAAGTACAAATAATAAACAAGCCCCTATTTCTAAAATCGACATGATACAGAGCAATTTATTGTGTTCATACTTGCCCTTCAAGTAACTTATTTCAGGTCTGCTTATATACCGCCATTCTAATTTTGTGAACTGGGTTTCCTCATCGGCATTTAGGAGACCATGACTAAATATGTAACCTTTTATTTTCTTTTTAAACAGAGGGAAGATGGGACAGAATGGGCAAGAGCCCGTAAAGCAGCCAGGAGGAGGAGTGGGACTAGCCGACCCTGAAGGTAAGTCAGAATTGACAGCGTGGGATTCCGGTTGAATCTACATGTGATGCTATAAGTGTTTGATTTGTTTCCTTTGAATATAAATGTACATTTCTAAGTGCTAATGGCAAGAGCCCTGGCAAGGACGGCATCATTCTCTGTTACCTATTACATTAGAATTATTTCGTAATTTCATTGGACAATTTCCCAATTTCTTGATTTATATTTAACATGTAAGTACTTTGGGGTACTAAAAATATAAAAGAGAAAGAAGAGTGAGACGAGTGACAGGAGAGAGACTCGGGAGACTTTTTCAGGAAAAGCAAATATCTTGTTGAAATTAAATTTTTTTTTGTTCAAATACTGTGCAAATAGAAAATAAATCATGAAACTTCACTTAAAATGGGAATTCTTAAATGTATGGAGCTCAGAAGAAATTAACGGAAAAAATCATTTTATAGGAAAAAAACGACTTTTAAGGTGAAAACCCAATTTGAAGTTAAATTTGGTTTTATTAAACAAATGGTAAATGTATTACAAAATGCCAGAAAACCCTTAACTTCAGCAGACACATATTCAGTATCTGCAAGGTGCACAGTGACCAGCTTGTCTTTCAAAATACTGTGATAAGATCTGACGGCACGCTATCCTTCACTGAGTGTACAACCTCTCAGTAATTTCGACTTAGTTCCTTTATATCAGCCTAAGTACTTTTCATGTATTATCTCATTTAATAAAGTTACCTATGAAGGTAAATAATATCATATGCTGGTTTTACATAAGAAGAATCCAAGATGCAAATATCATACAAGAGAAGAGTGAGCAACTTGAGCTCAGGCAAATGATGCCAAATCACCTGCTATGGAAAAGGATGACTAATGGCATGGTATCCCAAAGACACTAAATGGAGGAATAGGAAACCCAAATCCCTGTTATCTCACTGGTGACGGGATCTGTCATCAGAAACCTCATCTGGCAAATGCTGGATGCTAAGGATGCCAAATCCCTCGTGCATTTTCTGATTCTACTAAAAGTTTTTCTCTAGATTCATTCAAAGACTGTTTTCTTTACCTGCTGCCAATTTCCCCAGGGTTTCCACCCTCATTCCACCAATCGTTTAAGACACTCTTTTTCTGCATAGACTCAGCAGTTCTATCTATATGTTGATTAGTCCCAAATTTACCCTCCAGACTCCCTGGAATTCAGACTCCAGTAGTTCATGTCTGCCAGGCATTCATGTTCAACCAAGAGAATGGAAACCATGCTGAAGATTTATAATAGGGAAAATTTATGGCTGGCAATGATTACATAGTCACGGTCTCCCTGAGAACCCGAGCCGGTGGCAGTGAGCTAGCAGACCTCTTAGGACGCAGAGGAGAGCCGCTGTCCCTGAGAGCTGAAGCCAGTGCGAGCCAGAAATGCAGGGAGCAGGAGGCAAGGAAGAGGAACAGCGCTGTTACAAACAGCTCCCAAGATACATGAGGACAGGGGGTAGGAAGGTCCTGGTTACTTCTTCCTCCCATTCTCCAATCCCCGCCAGTGTCTGACCAAATCCAGCTGGAGGCCACCTGCCAGGGGGGCCTGGGAAACATCCTGGGGGGCAGCTGCCCTGATGGGGGGGGAGACGGAGAATGGACCTAAGGTCCAAGAGGCACAGGGCCAGTGCAGTATTTTGCCTGGAGATCTTATAGATGAATCAGATTACATATGTCCTGAACTTAATTCACCCTCTTCCAGATTTTGCCTCCTTCTCCTATGCTCTTCTACCACTAACAAAATCTACTTCTGTTTACACCATAATTTGCATATTTTGGTGTCATTGTTCTTTGACTGGAATGTACCTGTTTTTATGCCTGTGTCCTCCATACAGTTGAACAACAGTTAGACTAGGGCTATGCTTTAGTCATCCTGGTGGCCCCGCACTTAGCAGAGACCCTTGACAATAGAGTCGCTTCAAGAATGTTGAGTGAGGGATCCCCGGGTGGCGCAGCGGTTTGGTGCCTGCCTTTGGCCCAGGGCGCGATCCTGGAGACCTGGGATCGAATCCCACGTCGGGCTCCCGGTGCATGGAGCCTGCTTCTCCCTCTGCCTGTGTCTCTGCCTCTCTCTCTGTGTGTGACTATCATGAATAAAAATTTAGAAAAAAAAAAAAAAAAGAATGTTGAGTGAATGAATGAATAAATGACATAATTATGTATGAAAGTAATGTACCTTGATTTTCATATGACTCTAGAATTCAGGTCAATAGAGAAGCAATTCATGGGCACTTATTTCCAAGTTTAATTACTTAATTTAACTTTTCTTTTAATTTTAAATTTTTTTAATTATTTATTTATGATAGTCATACAGAGAGAGAGAGAGAGAGAGAGGCAGAGACAAGGCAGAGACAAGGCAGAGACATAGGCAAAGGGAGAAGCAGGCTCCATGCACCGGGAGCCCGACGTGGGACTCGATCCCGGGTCTCCAGGATTCCGCCCTGGGCCAAAGGCAGGCGCCAAACCGCTGCGCCACCCAGGGATCCCAACACTTGTACTAATTTTATCTATAAACTTAAAATTAGGGATCCCTGGGTGGCGCAGCGGTTTGGCGCCTGCCTTTGGCCCAGGGCGGAATCCTGGAGACCCGGGATCGAGTCCCACGTCGGGCTCCCGGTGCATGGAGCCTGCTTCTCCCTTTGCCTATGTCTCTGCCTCTCTCTCTCTCTCTCTCTGTGACTATCATAAATAAAAAAGAAATTAGTATAAGTGTTAATAGCTGCTAATGAATAAAAATTGTTCATCCTAATACTGTTTTCTTCTTTCTCATCAGTTCCACAAGAAGGAGTCAATCATAAACTATTTTATATTTTACTTAAACTTATGAGTCAATATGTTTATATTTTAGTGAACTGACTCTTACCTGTAGTTAATTTTGGATTAGCTATTAAGCAGAGGGCTGGAGGTTTAGGATGAGGATAAGATGGAATACGTAATGTAATATAAGTCATTTATAGGTATGTGACCTTTTGGTAACAATAATGTGAATGGGTTGTTTTTGACTGAGTTACTTCTGAAATGTTGACAATAAGCAAATTCATAATTTACACATCTATATGAAGTTGAGTATGAATAGTTCTCTAAGAGATATATGAGATTGCTAATAATATGGAGAAGAAAACTGCAATAAGTATTTAACCTTTACAAATAATTTTAAATTTAAAATACTTAAAGGGGCACCTGGATGGCTTAGTTGATTAAGCATCTGACTTGGTTTCTGCTCAAGTCATGAACTCAGAGTTGTGAGACTGAGCCCTGTGTCAGCTCCATGTTCAGTAGGGAGTCTGCTTGAGATTCTCTCTCTCCCTCTGCCTTCCCTCCACCCCATGCACATGTGTGCTCTCTCTCTCTCTCTCTCTCTTTCTCTCTCTCTCAAAATAAATCTTAAAAAAATACATAGAGAGTAGGGAGAAAATTATTAAATTATACAGGAATTTAATTATTCTGAGCAGATAAGAAGAAAACATCAATTTAACATGCAAAATTTTGTTTTGTCCCTGTAGAAATATTGAATCAACTCTGCTGTAATTCAGGTATATTTATGATATACATTTTGTTTTGAGCAATCCAGAGGACCGCTTTCACTTCCTTTTGTTGTCAGTCAGTATATATAGCCAGTTTATGGTGAACAATCAAAATAGAGTTAGTGCAGTTTGTTCATAGACATTATATTTAGTTTCTTTCTTTCTTTCTTTCTTTCTTTCTTTCTTTCTTTCTTTCTTTCTTTCTTTCTTTCTTTCTTTCTTTCTTTCTTTCTTTCTTTCGATAGTCACACAGAGAGAGAGAGGCAGAGACACAGGCAGAGGGAGAAGCAGGCTCCATGCACCGGGAGCCCGACGTGGGATTCGATCCGGGGTCTCCAGGATTGCGCCCTGGGCCAAAGGCAGGCGCCAAACCGCTGCGCCACCCAGGGATCCCTATATTTAGTTTCTTGACTGGATTTTTCCTCCTTTAAATTCTTCATCAGGACACCAGAAAAAACATCTCTTTGTAATTGCTAAGATTTTCCTGCGTGTTCCACTTCACCTTGAGTCTTTCATATTACTCATTTAAGCACTTTGTTTTATGCACACCTTGGTCCACTCTAAGGGAAAGTAATCTACGAAGATATGCATACGTTATATCTAGAGTGTATCATAGATTTTAAGCAATCGCCCTTAGTTTATTTTATAACACTTTTACTCTTGTTTTGGAGCTATAATGCACAGAATTCAAAAAGTAATGTTTTATGGGGTTAAAATTTTATGTGGAACATTTTATAGAATTTTTTTAATGCTAGTCATGTCCTTGTTTCTACTTAGTAAATCTATTTATTCTTCACTCTGATTTTTTAAAAAATCATGTTCTACTTAAGTCATTTTCTCCAATACTGTTGCATCTTCCCTATAGCAGTGACTCATAAATTTTAATCTCATTCTGATTAATCTCATGCTTAGTGGGTCAGAATATGAGATCAATCAAAGGTTCTGAGGTTCCAACCTAAGTTGTAGTAGAAAATGGTAATATTTTGTGGACTATCTTTGATAATGACCAGTTGAACTTTCACAATTTAAATAAGTGCACAATGTAAAGTAGAAATAAACACTATGTTTAACACATGATCAACATCCATTTCATTGTAGCTAATATTAAATTAAAACTGAATATAGGGCCGCTTGGATGGCTCAGTCGGTTAAGCATCTGTTTTCAGCTCAGGCCATGATCCCAGGGTCCTGGGACTTGGGCTCCCTGCTCAGCCTGGAGTCGGCTTGTCACTCCCCACCACTCACCTCCAGCCCCTGCTCTCTCTAGCTCTTTCTCAAATAAATATTTTTTTTTTTAAATAAAGACACAGAGAGAAGCAGATACACAGGCAGAGTGAGAAGCAGGCTCCCCATGGGGAGCCTGATGTGGGACTGGATACCAGGACCCTGGAGATCATGACTTGAGCGAAAGGCAGACACTCAACCACTGAGCCACCCAGGTGCCCCAATAAAATCTTTAAAA